TATTTACATGGACTACAGTACTTCAAATTCAATCCATATTTTTGGACCTAAAACTGATCTTTTTCTCTTATTCCTTATCATGTGGAAGAATTTCTTTATATATGCAAAAATCCAAGCTGAAACTTGGGACTAATCCTGATTAGCTTTTTCTTAATGTTGAGTCCATTCATTTACTCCAGGGGGTGGAGAAGAGTTGTAGAGAGCACTAACTTTCTGCTCCAATGGCATGCTGTGCATCCCACTTGATGCCCTCTTGAAATAGGCTCCCCAGATCTTTCATGTTGGCAACCTAATTATTCTCAAGATCTGACCTTGGGCTTTTCCCACTTCCACAGAAGATCCAGTCAATGATTCTTTAAATTGTAAATCTATTTACCCCCCAAAAAGAAAACAAATAAACAAAACAAAACAAAAAACCTTTAAGAGGTGCATTACCTATAACACAGATTTTGCAACTTTTTTTTTCCATAAAGAAAATCTTAAGCCTAAACAGATAAAAAGTAAGAAGTTTTTCTTTCCCAGCAGGTCCTGAGGGGACTCTATAATCTGAAAACAACTGACCTACAGTATAAAATACAGATTCTTCTAAATGGCAAACAAGGCCCTCTAATCTTACCTTCCAGATACTCACACCAACTTTCCACCTGCGCTCCATCACACTGATCTCCCTGCCTTTCTCTAAACCGGCCACATTTGGTTGGGGCCTCTCTGCTGTTCCATACCTTTACTGGCTGCCTGAATGTTCTTCCCACCTTTTATGACTGATAACATCCGGTTCCTCTTTGAGACCCATTAAACTGTTCCCTCAGAGGCATATCTCAATGCTCCCACTTCCTGCCTACACTCTGTACCCCCAGTGTCATTCATTATTCCTGCTTCTGTGTACCTTATTATTTTGTATGTATTTACATAAATACACCTCTATTTTATATATACATTTATTTTCTGTTGTTTATGGGTTAATTTCTATCATCATATTGTGAACTCTTTGAAAACAAGTGCTATATCCATCTTTGTATTCCCAGCCTGTAACAGAGTCCTTAGATCAAATTCAACACCTGGTACTTTTTACAATGATTTTAGGTAGTTGTTATTTTTCTGGACACATTACTTACAACATCCAATCCATTTCCTCAAAAGCACAAATACATTTACCCGCTTTGGCACAGTTCTGCACTGCCCTATTATGGTTACTTTAATTATGATATCAATGAGTATCAACCAAGTGCTCTATCTTCATAGATTTTTATTTAAATTTGTGGAAGTTCTTTAGATCATTCATTCACTTCTTAATTCATCCAACAAGCATTTATTGAGAACCTACAGTATACTGGGCTCAGAGAAGTGGAGAGGAGTTGGAGAGAGAAGCTGAGACATGCATTTCCCGATGTTAAGTCTTGCTGTCCATAGTGATAGTTTTCAACTTTAGCACATTATGGATCTTTGGAAGAGAAAGCAAATTTGGCTTTTAATATACACTAATACTTAGAATGGATGGTGAAATTGAAGAAAGGAAAAAATAAAGCCTCCACAATTCTGCCTTTACTTATAAAAGTACATACCATATTGAAGTCATTTTCACTTCAAAAGAATATACTCACATGATGCAAAACTAAAGCCAGAATTCATTTTCTGCCTAAAAACTCTATTATGTCTTCTTTGTATTAAGATAACTAATAGAATTTCTTTGGATTATAGTATTTCATATATATTACATACATAAATTAACAAAATAGTACTTACCCATTTTGGTGGTCATTTATGTAGCTGTAGGTCATTAAACTGAGAATTTAAAAGTGATTATTATTGTGATTTCCATAAAAAGTTTTGAGTTGATCGTTGTTGTTTTTTTAAAGCTCTCTGATTAAAGATTACCCATGGCTGCCAAACTCAAGCTATTTATTGCTTGAAATGGTCACGTTTTTATGCAACAAGCATGGAAAACACTTGACTTTTTTTGGACTGTTTTGTATTTTTAGAAAAAGAAAAGGAAAAACTAATACTTATTGAATGTCCATTAAGTACTAGGATGTTGCTTTTCCTTTAATCTTCCCAATCAACCTTGGGGCAAAAGATATCGCCTTTATTTTTGGTAATTCAGAAATTGGATCTCAAGGGAAGTGAATTGATTTGTCCCAGATTCCTGACTAGAAACTGGCATAGTCTGGTTTAGAACTTAGTGCTCTGATGCCACTCCTACTCTTTTTCTGTGCAATGTTGCCTCACACAAATGTTCAAGGCTAGTGGTGAATAACATAACACAAGAAAGTGAACTAAAAGATGCCATTTTAAAAATGATAACACTTCTGGCTTGATCTTCTTATTGCTGTTTATCTCCATGGTACATCCTATGTATTTGTAACTGTGATTCACTTTTCAAGTCCATAGTTCATTTCTAGTTCTTTCCCAAGGCTGTGAAACTTGTTAGAGTTGTTTTGTATAGGACCACTAAGTCTACTTGTTAGAAAGTACAATTTTTAAAATTATTTTGGCCTTCAGTGTAACAAACATGCTTTTCTTCTTGTGTGAAAGGAAATCTAGAGTGAACAGTCCGTTTTTCTGCCTTATTTGACCCTGGTGAACAATTCTTCTTCTAATTTTCTGTTATTTTAAATTATTATGTTTTGTGGTTACTAAGTCATTCAGAAATATGACATTATTTTGTACTCATGCAGTAAATATACTGTACTCCAGTTTTTATATGTCATGAAACAGTATTTGCTGTCCAAACATGAGATTGCTGTAAGAAAACTCAGTTCTAGAGCAGAATATATTCAGGCCTGGAACTATTGTGAAGCTTGATACTTTAAAAAGAAATAGAGTTGGGAGGAGGAGCAAGATGGCGGCATAGGTAAACACCGGAGACTGCTGCCGCAAACAACCACTTCAAAAATACAACTAAAAGACGGAACGGACATCACCCAGAACCACAGGAAGGCTGGCTGAGGAGAGACTCTTCAACTAGAAGGAAAAATAACAGCACACCGAGGCTCAGAGGAGGCGCAGTGTGGAAAAAACTCAGGTGCGGAGGTGCGCGCGCAAAGCGGGCTGGTGGCTGAGAGCGCGGTTGTCGTTTTCGGTCAGGGGGGAGTCTCAGACTCTGAGCTCCAGATACGGGCGAATCGCTGGGGACTCGGACCCAAACGGGAGAAGCGGGAGTGTCTGGCATCAGTTGGAAGGCAGCTTTCCCTCCGAGGTTTGCAGCGGTTCCGGGGGTTCTGAGAAGCAGAGCCTCTGGGAACAGGACTGAGGGCACCATAACGGCTCCCTCCGCCCGCCCTGTTGAGCCCGCCCCGCCCAAGCCCTGCGCAGAGCCATTTGCCGGATCGCCTCAGGCAAAGGCTAGATTAGCACCTCCCCAGAGGACAGAAGTTTTCCGCGGCAGACACAGCTGATTCACACAGCCAGTCGGCCTGGTGGTCAAATCCCTCTAGTATTAACTACAACAATCAAGGCTCAACTAGAACAAGACTGCGCACAAAGACCACTAGGGGGTGCACCAAGAAAGCATAAAAAATGCGGAGACAAAAAAACATGACAGAAATGGAGGATATAGAGCTAAAAATCGCAATTTTGAGGGCTTGCAAAAATGTGCTAGAAGCTGTCAATAAACTTGAGGAGAGAGTCACGAAAACTAATGAGACCCTCGATGCTATGATAAAGAACCAACTAGAAATTAAGCATACACGGACTGAAATAAAGAATATTATACAGACACCCAATAGCAGACCAGAGGAGCGCAAGAATCAAGCCAAAGATTTGAAATGCGAAGAAGCAAAAAACACCCAACCGGAAAAGCAAAATGAAAAAAGAATCCGAAAATACGAAGATAGTGTAAGGAGCCTCTGGGACAGCTTCAAGCGTACAAACATCAGAATAATTGGGGTGCCAGAAGATGAGAGACAGCAAGATATTGAAAACCTATTTGAAGAAATAATGGCAGAAAACTTCCCCCACCTGGTGAAAGAAATGGACTTACAGGTCCAAGAAGCGCAGAGAACCCCAAACAAAAGGAATCCAAAGAGGACCACACCAAGACACATCATAATTAAAATGCCAAGAGCAAAAGACAAAGAGAGAATCTTAAAAGCAGCAAGAGAAAGAGACTCAATTACCTACAAGGGAATACCCATACGACTGTCAGCTGATTTCTCAACAGAAACTTGGCAGGCCAGAAGGGAATGGCAAGAAATATTCAAAGTGATGAATACCAAGAACCTACAACCAAGATTACTTTATCCAGCAAAGCTATCATTCAGAATTGAAGGTCAGATAAAGAGCTTCACAGATAAGGAAAAGCTAAAGGAGTTCATCACCACTAAACCAGTATTATACGAAATGCTGAAAGGTATCCTTTAAGAAGAGGAAGAAGAAAAAGGTAAAGATACAAATTGTGAACAACAAACATGCATCTATCAACAAGTGAATCTAAGAACCAAGTGAATAAATAATCTGATGTACAGAATGAACTGGTGATTATAATGAATCAGGGACATAGAAAGGGAATGGACTGACTATTCTTGGGGGGGAAAGGGAAATGGGAGATGCAGGAAGAGACTGGACAAAAATCGTGCACCTATGGATGAGGACAGTGGGGGGGGAGTGAGGGCGGAGGGTGGGGCAGGAACTGGGAGGAGAGGAGTTATTGGGGGGGGGAAGAGGAACAAATGTAAGCTGAACAATAAAGATTAAAATAAAAATTAAAATAAAAATAAAAATAAATCAATTAAAAATATCCCAGGGTGAGGATTAAATAAATAAATAAATGAACAAACAAACCAGAAAAATAAAGTTATACATTACATAAATTAATATTATAAAGAAGGAAAAATGTAATCTGAACAGTAAAGATTTAATAAAAAAAAAGAAATAGAGTTGGGGCTTTTATAATTTTATGTCAAAGCATTATAACGCATTGCATTTGGCATGTCAACAATGGAATACTGTGTAAAACTTTAAAACATGCATCTGTTACCCTGATTTCCATTCTTTTTCTCCAGATCAAGAAAATGGCAGCTTGTGCTTTTCATTGAGCTTTCTAGTGAAGGAAGCTTTTTCACGAAGCAAATGATAATCTGAACCAATGGAATAATGAATGCAAGGAATTAGGTCTGTATTTTCATATACCTATTTTTATGTTTCCATCAGCTTTACTAAAAAAGCCTAAATTAGCAATGCTTCAAATTATAAATTAGTAACCAAATATTTTAAATACTTGTATTATAAACAACTTCATTATTTTCTATAATTTCAATTAGGTTCTGCCTTGAATACTTAACAGTTTTATTTTGCAGAACAGATAATCAAATGAGGAAACTCATTTTTGTTGTTGATCATAATAGCATAACAAAATTACCTCACTGCTTGTCCTGTCTTCTCTGAGAGTCGTCAATAACATCAATAACTTCAATGTAAAAATTTGTTTAAAGAAACTGATCATCTTTCCATGCTGCCCATCTGCTTTTCATCCCCTCGTAACCTTAGCCCTTAAAGCAAACAATCTGAGTCTGCTAATAGGGAGTTAACAAGATACCCTTTTTAGTGGACTGAATCAAGCACAGCAGAGAAAAGGCCTCCCTTATCACCTATGTCATTTGGTGGATATAAAAGCCATACCCTTTTCGCCTAAATTCTCACATTGGTTGCAGAACCAAGTCTAAAATCTAGATCTTCAGGCTAACATTTATGCCACACCAGACTGTTGCTCATACTGACTTCAACCAGTGATTTGACTAGAGTCTGTGTTCTGCAAATAAATACAGTGCCTCAATATTTCACAGATTTTTAAGTTATATTTATTCATTGCACAAATATTTATTGACATCTACTATGTGCTAGAGATATAGCTATGAAGGAGTTAGACAAATTCCTTGCCTTCACATGGCTTAAATGCTAATAAAGGGATAGACAATAAATAAACTGATAAATCTATAATGTAATAATAGATATTCAAAGCAAGATAAGGAGATGAATTATTTTATATAATAACTTTATGAATGAGTTGTTCTTTTTCAAGTGAAGATAGAATTGAGACATTTGGGGGGAGCTATAAACAGAATGGATGGATGCTCTTATCCATCTTGGTTTGGGACTTAATTCAGTATATTCACACTTTCGTGAACACACACACACACACACACACACAATGTGTTAGTGAGCATGCCGTGACAATGGGTTTTTTGATGAATTGTTAGAATGCTAGTTTAAATACATATTTATCTTTTTTCATTGTGAGCATTGCCATTCTGTTACTCCAATTTATTTAAAGACATTGTCATCTAACAATGTTAATGCATCTAAATGTTGATGCAAAATTTGAAAGGCCAAGAGATATAGAAAAAATACTACAGAATGACTTAGAAAAATAGTAAACATGAGGAGTTCTCAGTATAGCTGTGAAGAAGCTTTCCCTGTTCCTGGGGAATTCCAGTGTGTTGCAGAGAGCTAAATTTCCTCTTAGGCTCCCTCTCACCCTGCTTTTTCAGGAAAGAGTCATGATTGTATTCATAGCTCCTCAGTGGCCTTGACACAAGTGACAAATGTTTTATTTCTTCCCCCTCTACTGTTTTCAAATACCTGGGAGTTTTCCTCTACAAATAAAAAAAGAATATCAAATTGATAAAAGCTGTTATCAAGCCCTTACTATGTGCCAGCCAGGTGGGATTGGGCCTAAACAGTCAGTCGGACATCCCTCTCAGAATCCAGGGCTGCTGGCTCCCAACCGCTTGCCTGCCTGCCTGCCTGATTGCCCCCTAACCACTCCCCTGCCAGCCTGATAGATGCCTAACTGCTCCCCAGCTGGCCTGGTTGCCCCTAACTGTACTCCCCTGCAGGCCTGGCCACCCCCAACTGCCCTCCTTTGCTGGCCCAGTCACCCATAACTGCCCTCCCCTGCTGGCCTGATCACCCTCAACTGCCCTCCCCTGCCGGCCATCTTGTGGTGGCCATCTTGTGTTGGAGTGATGGTCAATTTGCATATTACCTCTTTATTATACAGGATTGTGGGTAGTGACCTAAAGAGGTTAAACATCTCTCTTGCTCAAGGTCATATATATAATCAGGGGAGTTATACATGGAGCCTAGCGATTGGACTTAGGGTCTCAACTCTTAAACACAGACATCTGCATGAGTCTTTTATTTTGAAAAATATAAACTTGTGGATCAGGTTCTAACTGAAAAGTAGAGAAAAAACTGCATGGCATGAGGCACAAAATGGCTGAGGAAGGTCACTGGTCATGATCATAGGACAGCAGTCTAGTGTGATGAAAGATCATGGTTTTTCTAAATATCTGTCTATTCTTTTTGAGAGTGATCCCATCCCCATGAACATAAGAAGTTGTAGAATGTAATAGCACAGGTTGATGGAAACTGAAACCTTAGAGAAAATTAGATGATTTTTTCATTGCAGGAGTTTTTTAGACAAGTACTCTCAGTAAAGCATTTGTAGGTAGTGTTTGGAAAGACCAGGGAAAAGCCTTACAAATATCAAGCAAAATCAAAAGGGTACTTGTGGTTGGTGTATACATGGGCTTTATAACATGACTTTTTGGTCCCTGCTTCTTCTTTCTCCTGTGACTGCTAAGAGTGAAATTATTCACATTTGTAAACATTTATCTGATTACACATTTATTAATTCAGCCAATATTTATTGAACATCTACTTACTCTATGTCAAGTATGGAGATACAAGTTTTATGAAATATATAAAAATTAAAGAGTGAATTTCTGATGTAAAAGAGCTTATGGATGTTCCTTCTTCCCATAATTATTTAACACAAATTATGAGAGTAAATAATATGTGATATATGTTTGCTTCAGGCTTACAACCAATGTCAAGGGAAAATATGTAGCTGAGCTTATGCACTAAATATTCTAAAGAAGGGACAGAAAATAATCAAATGAACAAATTCACATAAATTATTAGTAATACTATGATGGGATTAAGGAGAGGGCTGTGAAAGAGAACAACAGAATGTCCCTTTGTGGAGGGAGATTAAGAAGACTTCTCTGAAGGGGTGACATATAAGCTGAGATGAGAAAATGAGGTGGAGACAGTCATTGAGAAAGCCAGTCAGAAAGAAGTCCAGACAAAGGAAATGAAAGACTTAACATGGGAAGTAGGAGAACTAGAAGGGGGGGATTTAGTGACTTATGATAGATTTTAAAAAAACTGTACATTTAATTGCAGAGACAAAACAACAGGTTTTAGAGACATTCCTATGATGCCTGTTATACTTTCCTGTTCCCAAGACAATGAGGTGAGCATTAAATGGATTGAAAAGCCATGAGGAGGTAAGAGGGAAAAATTCTAATCAAATTTTATCAGGTATTCAAGATACTAAGGAACAAATTGTATTTCCAGAATGTTCTACAAAGAATAACATACCAAAGTAAAATCTTAGGATACACATCTATACTTGCAAGAACGTTTTATTTTCCAACAGTAAATTGAGACACTGGGGATAGTAGATTTGTTATAAAAAAGCATTTTGAAACTTCAATTAAAAGGCTTTATTGAAAATATTTGTCACAACAATACCCTGCTTAATATTTCAGAAAAGTCATTGCTGAGGTCAATATCTATGAAAAAAAATGACATAATTTTTGTTTCAGTTCAAAAATTGCAGAAATAAATTTTCACTAATGAATACTTCCTTATTTTAACAAGGTACTTTTTAGTATTGTTACCCTGAGGTTCTGACACCTCATTACTTGGCAAATTTATATGGTTTTCAGATCTCTGAGGTATAGAAAATAGACATTGTGAAGTTCTAACTCAGTTTCATTATTTATATGACTGAAAATTAAGTCATGAGGGACCACTAACAACGTGATTGAAACTTTGTGGTCAGCTTCTAGGTTGTCAAAATAATTCAACATATACACACACATGCCCACAAGCACGCACACATGAACATGCATGGACACATACACATATGAAAGCCATGCTTTGTGTGTGTGTGTGTGTGTGTCTGTGTGTGTTTAAATTGATTTCAGAGAGGAAGGGAGAGGGAGAGATAGGAATGTCAATGATAAGAGAGAATCATTGATCAGCTGCCTCTTGCATGCCCCCTACTGGGGATTGAGCCCAAAACCTGGGCATGTGCCCTTGACTGGAATTGAACCTGGCACCCTTCAGTCTCCAGGCAGACGCTCTATCCACTGAGTCAAACCAGCTAGAGCCGAAAGCCATGCTTTCATTGAGGGCATAGAAAGGACGAGAGTAACAGGCTTATCATTCCTGCTTTATGCTTATCATAGGTGAGCCTCTACTCAGAATACTCTTCAAAGTATTCTTTAAAGATCATTGGAATGTGCCCAGATTACCTTTCTGCTGGGGAAATGGCTCTTCTAAGGGGCCAAAGAGGAGCACAGTCTGGAAACCTCTGGTTTTCATCTTTTTTTTTTGACACAATCTCAATCTGGTTCTTTCTCTGATACTTAATTCTCTATATCCTTGCTTCTCATAAACCAGCAGCATCACCTGGGAGCTTGTCTGAAATGCAAAATTTCAAGCCCCAACCCCAGACCTACTGAATCAGAATCTGCATTTCAACTGCAAGTGTTGTGTGTACTTCCACGTTTTAAGCTCTCCTCTACATTCAAAAATGCTCAAATTTTCCCTGTCTTACAAAACTGTCATCAGACCTTACCTCTGTTTCTTTGCTATAATTATGTTTTTCCTTTATTTTTATGACTAGTATTTCATGCTGCTGCATGCATTCTAATTCCTTCTTGCTCCATAATCCCTGGAATCTGGGTTCATGCCCACCTGTAGTGCACACATAAAAGCCATTGTCCCTCAGCATCCTCTCACCTTATCTGACTTAGCATCCACCATTCCTCCCTTCTCTGACCATGGGGTCCATACCCCTCCCTCAGGGTACAGCCTACCCTGGTTAAGTCAGATAGTTGATCACATTCCTCCTGGCCAAAGCAATTGGTGCCTACAACAGTATGGGCTTGTGACCACTTAGAATGAATGAGGAACAACCAGGTATGTTTGGGACTTCTGGGGAGGGAGACTTTTTACTTTTATTTCAGGTGGTTTTAAGATGACCAGTTCTGGAGTTTCTCTTGCAATTCATCCTGCCTTTAGACCCAGGTAGAAGTGACTTCTGCTCTGGACCCCATGCTCTCATCCTCCTCCAGCTCTGTTGCTTCCCATTGGTCAAGGAATCTTCAAGGCAATGGGGATGGACCAGTCAGAGTCCATGACACCCCCTTATCCAGGAGCCAGGACAGTGGAATTCTCTGTCCAGTTGACCCCATGCCTTCTTAAGCAATTCTTGGGCTGTCTCCAGAAGAGCTTTTGGCTACTGTGGTATGTGTACTTATCTGCCTGAGTGGCAACTAGGGGAAGCTGGTGTGAACAAAGCTTGCTCCTGTGGCCTGTGTTTTCACACATGTCTATGAGAATCTCCTTGTGGCAAAGTGCAGCCAGAGGTGGAAAGAGAAGCAGCCACCAAGGAGCTATCACTATTAGTTTACTGTTGGTAGCAAATGAGACTTATTCCTACATCTGTGCTCTGGAATATCACCAGTGACTTCTACATTGCCACAGCTTTTCCTCTGTTTTCATTTCCTTTGAGTGCTCTCCTTCATTTGGCACCACTAATTTCCTTAAGACTTAGAAAACTCATTTCTCAAGTACTTGTATTGTCGACATGTCATGAACCTTAGAGCCGAAGTAGACTCTTCTCTCACCCTCCGGTTTCACCCTTACAACCTTTCAATTAAAAATTTGTTTTTAATCAGTAAAAACCTCACCTCCCTCACTGTGGATGTCCTGGATTAGTTACTTCAGTAGATTTCAAACTAGTCTCATTCATCTGAAGTGCATCTTCTATATAATCATAAGAGTGAGCTTCTAACAGGAAATTGATTTTATATATATATATTCCTACTTATTAATCATCACTGCTTCTTCTTCACCTATGAATACACACAATCTTTTTCTTATAAAAAGAATACATTTTTACTGATTTCAGAGAGGAAGGGAAAAGGAGAGAGAGATAGAAACATCAATGATGACAGAGAATCATTGATCAGCTGCCTTCTACTGGGGATCAAGCCCACAACCCAGGCATGTGCACTTGACCGGAATCTAACCTGGGACCCTTTAGTCTGCAGACTGAGGCTCTATCCATTGAGTCAAACCGGGTAGGGGTACACACAGTCTTTAAGACAGCTTACAAATCCCTTCATGCTCTGTCCCTTGCTTACATGTCCAACTTACTTCATTATTTAACCAAATATTTATTGTCTACGTGTGATAGGCAGAATTCTAGGCAGTGAAGGTACTGTGGTGAACATGATAGGGTGCCTACTTTCAAGGAACTACTAAGGACAGATCATCTGTAAACAAATAAACAGATAAGCCAATAAGGGAAATTTTAAAATATTAATCAAATGTGTTCATAGAATAAAAATAGGGTTATTTGTTGGACAATGACAGGGTGGCTAAATTAAGCTGTAAGCTTTGAAAATCTTTTCTAGAGATGTGACATTTAAGCTGAGTATGTTAATGACTAGAACACATACCTGAAGTACAGCCGAGTGAACCTTTTGAGGAGAGCTCATGGAGCATGCAAAGGCCCGCAGCTGTTCTCAACCTGTGGGTCGCGACTCCTTTGGTGGTCGAACAACCCTTTCACAGGGGTCGCCTAAGACTATCCTGCATATCAGATATTTACATTACGATTCATAACAGTAGCAACATCACAGTTATGAAGTAGCAACGAAAATAATTTTATGGTTGGGTCACAACATAAGGAACTGTATTTAAAGGGCCAGAAGGTTGAGAACCACTGCCCTAGAGGCAGAAGTACTGCCCACGTGAACTCCACCTCAGACTTGCAGTTCCTCAAGCATGCCGGGCTATTACCAGCCTCTGTGGCTTTGTGCACACAGGTCTGTCTGCTTGGGATGCCCTTTCCTTCATTCCACCCAGCCAGTTACTACTCACCCTTCTAGTTCAGTTCAATCTACCTATTACCTCCTTTGTTAAGGCTTTTTGGACTGCCAGCCTCTTGCCCAGGAGGTGGAGGTGGTCCCTCCTCTGTGCTCCCTCCCCTTTCCTGGCATGAATTTCTGCTGTAATAATCCTCTTAGGTGTTGAAATTCTCTTAAAGGCAGAGAACATATTGCATCACCTTGTTTTTCTAGAGCCTTGCATATGTCACACACTCAGTGAGTACTTATTTGAATGGATGAAGGAAATGTTCTTTTGAAAATCATCTGTTCAAATCTCTATGCCACTAAATCTTTTCAAAGAACTCTGTAACTTCCTTAATTTTTTTTTGTAGTTTAGTTTTCTTTCTGTTTTTTCTCCCCATCTAGTCTTCAGGATTCTCTAGGGCTGAAGACTTAAAGCTTTCTAGTTCCGAGACCTCTTGAATTTTCAGAATTTCAACAACCATTTCTATGTTGACTTAAATTTTTTGTTTTCAAAATTATGCTGTTTATTTAAAAAAAATTATTCATATTAATTCAGTTGACTTTCAGTTTCTTGTTTTCTTTCTTGTCCTTAGGATCTTAAACAATATCAAGAGAGATAGTAGGCAAAAAAAAATCTAAGTCAGTATATGTTTTTAAGGAAACCCTGGTATCTCCATGTAAGATAGTTGTCAAATTACTTTGAGTTAGACATGCTAAGTGCTTTATAAAGATAGTAGTTTAACCTTTACAATGGTCTCATAAAGTAGGTATTTTTATTATTTCTATTTGCAGATGGGACAAATGAGGGTTAGAGAGATTGGGAATTTGTCATCAGCTACCAGTCAGTGTGGGAGCCTGGATTGTAACTTAAACCTGTGTGATATGACATTCAATCAGTAGGCTAAAGGACACATAGAATGTGGCTTAAATATTAAACATTTTTATGATAAGTCTATCTCTCAAGTAAAGCTGGGAATGTAATAGGCCTGAAATTCCTGTAGCCATTTAGTAATTTGGATTTATATCCAGCCTATTACCATCTTATTTTGTCTCATAAACAAGCATATATATTTTCTGAATCCAGCCACAACACTTTTGTGTTTCTTGCATATATCAAAATATCTGGAAAGGGCAAGAATAGGACTCAAATAGTGGCTTTGTAAAACTTTTGCTATATAATTTAGGGGTGGAAATTGGAATTCACTCAGACTGCTAAGAGGCACATTTTGTAAATCAAGCAATGTTACAATCAGCCTTCAGGCACACCAAAGGCTTCTTTCAGACGATGATTTAGAGGTTCAATATGCTTCTCTTGGAGAGCTAGGCTAAAAATGGGACAGGGATCTGATTCC